ATGGTTCCCGGGCTTCTCTACCCGAAGGTGTCGCGGAGCAGCCCTCGAAGGTTCAAGATGATGCCGTTTCCCTCTCCATTGCACCCACCTCTGAGCCTGAAGAGCCTGACGATGTCTTCGATTCCAGAGCAGCTAGCCTCATCATAGTACGACTGCCTGTGCTTATAAAATCTACGACTTAGCAAATTTAATCAGTTGATCTGAAGGTCTAGGGGTGCGGGTTTCGGATAATAAGGCCTACTGGGATTCTGGAGGGTTCCAACTTCTGGCTGGCTAGGTCCAGCTGACTCGACAGCAGCAACGTGGCGAGGAGGATGAAGACATGGGAGAGGACCCGAAGCCAAAGACTACCCGGGGCCGGGGTCGCGGCGGCGGTCGTGGTCGGGGCGGAAGGGGAAAGTGCATGAAAAAGCCCGCTGCTGCCGAGCCTGCTTTCCAAGTGGAGCGTGAGAAGGACGACGAGTCGGAGGAGCGGAGGGATCTTGGCAAACTCTTGGATGCAAGCAAGTTGAAGGCTGCCAAGCCTGGCAAAGCCTTGCCTGCAGCGGAGACAGGCAAGCCGAAGGTCAAGAAGCCGGAGCCGACAGCAACTGGGTCAAGCAAGACGAAAAAGGCAAAGGTTGCCGAGGCAAAGGATGATGTGACCAAGCAGGGCAAGAAACGAACCCGCGAGAAGAACTCCGACGCCGCTGAGGATGGTGATGGTAAGAAGGTGAGAAACACCTTCGCCAGACGACCCCGTCCCAAAGAGGGAGCGAAGCCGGCCGTGGTGGCCAAGTGGCATGGCCTTGGGCAGATCTACGACAGTCAGATTGGTCCTCTTCTGTATGCTCCCAGCAAGTACGAGGATTTCGGGGTGGATTCTATATATAATTTGTTGTTCTCCGAAATCAATCCATAGGTATAGCCTCGAATGACTGGGCTCTTCGAGGCCTAGTATGATTATTATTATCTCAACCTAGCCACAGCCAAGTGGAGTAACATGTAAGCTTGTTTTGCCAAGAATTCCTAAACCAAGTCATACCCATGCCCGACATTTCAGGTCGCAAAGCCAAGGCATTATACCTAAATCAAAACGAAGCCATACCCCTAAACCCCTAAACCCTAAACCCTAAACCAGCACACTTTCTCTGCCCCATCATTAGCTATCAAGGAATTCCCGAAAGCAGACTCGAATCTCTCGACCCCAGGACGACTTCTGGAAGTTCTTCACGACGAAATGCTCCCAGCAGACTTGCGAGACCGTCGAAGAGATCACAGCTATGGCTGAGAAGATTGTGCCCAAATTCCTAAAGGGTTGCAAAGGCTATGAAGCAAAATCTCCCGAGGCTGACTAGGGCTTGCTTAGCTTCGGAGGCTCGGTGCTTTTGTTCTAGCCCGTACGACCTATGGGAACTTCAACCACAAACCTCCCAGTGCAAAAGGTTCCGAAGTGTCAGAGCTCAGATCCTCGGATCTTGCACAGACTTGAGGTATAACTCGATCTACGTCTGGTTGTGGTACTGCTTGCTTCCAGGATCTTCAGCTAGCTCGGCCTTAGGGAGCTTTGTAGTTCTTAGGTTAGAGGTTCTGGGTTTAGGAGGTTCATCAAAAGCTAAAGTCAGGCTGGGTGGCTTCATCGGTAAGCCCTACGCCCTATAGACCCCAAACCCAAACCCGAAAACACTAGATCCCTAAAGCCCTAAACCCCACATCTATAGCCTTAAGCAATACTGCGAAACCTCAAGTCGCTTTTGACTTGCCTGATGCTGCCAGCAGCAGCAGATGGCTCGGGGAATCCTGGCGAGCACGGGAGAAGATGAACTTCGGTGATTCGGTCACGATTTCTGCTCCGGTTGCACTGTTGATGTATTAATTTTCAAATAGATTATAAGAACTTCTTCCGTGTTCACAGCCGGGCGGGGAGCAGGGCACTTCTTTGAGAGTGCAATGCGCCGTGACTTTGCCAAACAGGTGTCGCTTCTGCAAAGGACAAAAGATGTTATGACTCATTGTCTTCCAACCTAGAGAACCCAGTGCTGAATTGTAAATAGCCCAGAAAGACTTGTCCCCAGGTACGTGGTGCTGGCCTGCTGGGGCGGCCTGCTGCATGAGCCTGCGCAAGGGGCTGTCGGTGTATGCTCGGTGCGGGAAAGGACCACGTCCTGAACCATCCCGTACAACCCGGCATGTTTAAGTACCTGCCTGACAATCGCGGTGCTTGTGTTGAACGTCTGTGCCATTTGGTGTTGTCTCGCCCGAATTTCCCGCCGGGTGATTTCCTAGTGCTCAAGGGTTCTAGAAGCCTTGTTTTGTGTCTTCGCCATGACACCGGACCAGATCGAACTGCTCCTACGCAGAATGATAGCGATGGGCCTTCCGAAGGCACGTACACTTCTAGCAGTTGCTAGTTGCATTTGTTGTTTGTAGACTACCCCCAACCAGCTATTGTGCTCGAAATACTCTGCAAGGCATTCGTGCTGCTCGTCCTGACGACCGCTTACCTCCCAAGGATTCGGATCGACCGAGAATATGATTTGGTCGAGTTCTTTAGCGGTGCCGGCCGCATAGCGAGACTGGCTCAGTGTGTGGGATATCAGAGCATGGCTTTTGATATACTCTATGACACTGAATCGAAGCCCGTCAAGGGTCGTGCGAAGGCCAAAGGATCTAAGGGCAGAAGCTGTATGGATCTGAACTCCTCGGCAGGATTCCTGTTGCTTTTGCTTCATTAGACTGCTTGCTGCGAGTGTTTGCGCCACTAGATAAGGGTGTCTGGTGGTGGGTATCCAAGGCTTGCTATCAGTGTGCTGCTCTCCAGCAAGTTCGGAGCCGTCGTTACAATTTGGGCTATCTGTTGTTCGACGTGGGTGCAGATTAACTCCGGCACCTCTGGCCGGAGTCCTCTGCACCCNNCAGCCGTCCGTTCGACATGCTAATCTGCTCGTCTCGAGGTGCATTGCTGTTGCGAACCTGAAACCATCTAAGGAACTTCCTAAAGGGGGCTGGGTGCTTAAGCAAGGGCTATCTTTAGGGTAAGTACCCAAGATTGAGCTTAGGGTTAGTATATGGTTTGGGGTTTGTGTTCGTTTGTGTGTGTTTTTGCTATTTGTCTGCATATTATTCCAAACAGGTGCATCCTCTTGATGATGCTGGCAGTTTGCGCTGGCGGCGTCATCGTCATCGAGAATCCGGGGACTTCACTTATATACCTACATGATAGGTGGCAATGGATGCTTCAACGTCTCCACGAAGCCAAAATCCCCGCTCCTGTGACCCATTACCCTTAACCCTAAACCCTGTAAGCCCTAAAAGCCTTAAACCTTTGTAAGCCAGGGAGCTTTTGTACGTTGAGCACCAGCCTAGTTGTTCCACTAGAATACCATAGCTGCTGAGGTCTATCGCCAGGGCCTATGGATGCATCTGTATAGTCATGCTACTTGGAAAAGAACAATCCTGTGGAGCACTTCTAGGGCCATCAGTCTCTTCAACCTGGGCACCCTGGACCGGAGCAAGAAGCCTACAGTGGCCACCTCCCAGAAATCCCGTAACAAGTCCGGCAAGAAGACCTTCACTGCTTCAAAACATCTACGGGGGACCCAGAAGCTTGCTTGAATTTGTAGAACC